ACTTATAGAAATTAGAGTTTTGCGAATGTGGGCTGCATCATTCTAAAACTTTTTTCATACTAAGTTAACTACCTTTGGGCTTCTAATTGAAGTTGTAGAGCTCGTTGAGAGAAATCTAATGGTAGTTGAATCGTCAAAATTGGCCTTGTAGATCACGAGATATCTTGAAAAACGTTTCGCCGACTATGTAAAATTCTCTTGGCGTTACTATTGTTGAAAGAGAGAATTTTACATAGTCAGCGAAATGTTTTTCGAAGATATCTCGTGATCCACAAGGCCGATTTTGATGTTTCAACCACCATTAGATTCCTCTTAATGAGCTCTACAACTTCAATTAGAAGCCCAAAGGTGGTTAACTTAATACAAAAAAAAGTTTTAGAATGATGCAGCCCACATTCACAAAACCCTAATTTCTATAAGTAAATTGTGTCACATTACACTATGACCTCTCACTGGCTGACTGATGAATCACCAATTAATATAATTAATATACTAATTTCATTATTCTTTTTCTTTTCAGTTCTAACCTTCTTTCTCATTACTTTTGGTATTCATGGTTAAATCTTTAAAATGAACTTTCGGTTTTGTTTTCTAACATTTTTTTTTATAAGTATTTTTTTTTATTAATATAATTAATATACAGGAGGGTGACAAAAGTTTTTACACACCTAAGGACTTGGCTTATATGTCAAAAACTTATTAATTAATTTATATCTTTAACTTGACTATATGAAACCTTATCTCTTGATGATTATATCATATCACTTTTAGATCACATACTTGTATAATTAGCAAGTTATTTAATTTTACTTTTAGGGTTTTAATAAATTTGGTAAGTGTTTTGGTTTTTTTGTAAATATTTCAATAACTATCAATTCAATTTTAATAATATTTTATTATTTTATAGACAAAGTTTTTCTTTATCTATTGCAGTTAGTGATTTTTCAAAATTCGAAGATTATTTCTAGAAAAATCTAAATCACGCACTAACATGTGATTGGCACTTAGTAATGCTTACTAATCCTTTTTTTATAAAGAAATTCATAACCTTTTATCGATCTAGTACCGCAATAAAGGTTAAGTCTAACCATTGAATTATATATTTTTTAGCACGTATTTTCAGAATCTATGTGGATCCCAAAGCCTTTACAAATTAGTTTTTCTTAAATTAAAGCTTAAATTACACATATTTTATATATTATTCACTAATGAGTTCAAAAGTAGAAGCCAAAACGTTGCCTTGTCTCTTTGCTTCTTTTGTTAACAAGCACCTGGTGAGTGATTTACTAAAGCATATAAATAAGTATAAACCTGACGAAGAGCAACAGTGGCAAAATGCATCGGCTAATGCAGCAATGAAAAAGCTAACAGAATTGGCTAAGTATTTTACTGAATTAATTTCATTTCTTGAATCTTTAAAAAGTTACTCTTTATGTGAATAGCATTACAATCAGATTGTTGCTAAACCTTCTTTTATTAAACAATTTACAGACAAATCAAATTTAGATGAGAGCAAAAGAAAAAAAGTAAAGCTTTCTAATAAAAAAAGTTTTGCAGATTTTAGTGCTCAAGTTAATCCAACTTCCATCAATTTTGGTGCTCAAGTTAATCTAACTTTCGTCAATTTTGGTGCTCAAGTTAATCCAACTTCTGTCGATTTTGGAGTTCAAGTATTTTTACCAGATCTAATATATAAAAGTCTTTTAGGGCAGATTAGTAAGCTTGAAAGTGCTAATAAGCAATTATTAGCCAAAAATGAAGAGTTAAAAAAAAGGTTATACGAAAGATTTATTAACCAACAAGATCGTATTTAGTCTATTATAAAAATTGCTGAAAAAGAGCAAAATAATTTGTATGAGGACATAATAGATTTGATGAAAATCAAGAGCAATTTTCTTTGGATAGCCTCTTACGATATTCTTCTTCTGAATGGCTTGCTAAATGAAATCTAGTTGTTGTAAAGTTTATAGAAACTCTTACTCGTAATGAAAATGAATAACAATCTGGAGAGAAGCTTTTTAAAAGTACCGTAGCTATTGATGCTATATATAGATCAAAGTACTTAAAATATATTTCTGCAATCAATTTGGCCACTTTAGCAATTAAGTATTCATTGGCAAGGTCAAAAATGATTGTGGATATTGACAACCATATTATTAGTTCTGGTATATGTTTTTTCTTGTTATCAAATGATTTTTTTTTTTTTTTTTTAATTTTATAAATACTTAAGGCATTTTATTTTTTAGGCAGCTATTCAAAATTTACTAACTGGTTAAAAAATTTAGCTATAGAGCAGTCACCGCTTCCTGAAGGTTTTCTATTTTTGGCTTTTGACAATGAACAAAAAGACCAAAAAAATTATTTGGATCATGGGCATAATATGGTTATATTTCATACCATTACAAGTTTTGTTGCTTTTAATTTTCCAAATAACTATATTTAGATTACAGATCCTTGGTTATATTCTGAACTTACCTAAAAGCAATATGAAAAATTATTTTATTTAATATCAGGTATGGAAAATGAAATTCATGAAGAACTTACTAATTATCTCTCAATTATTTTAGAAGAACTTTGTGTTGAAAAAAATCAAGAAATGAATGTAATTGATAACTTGATACATAATCAAAGTCAAGCGGGTTGTATAAAAAAATATTCAGTTTGTAATACCTTTAATATCAATAACAAGAAGCAGGTTTGTCCTTTATGCTATAATAGATTACTGACGATTACTAAAATAAATCAGCAATCTGATGAATCATCTAATATAGTAAACACTAATGAAAAGTCTCTAGCTATTAATTCTTATACTTTTAGGGAATCAAGTAAGCAATGTTTAGCTCATGAGGTTTATATACCACAAGTATTCATTTTCGATCCAATAGGAGTTAATTCTAATTTGATTACTAATGTTTGAAAAGTCCTTGAATATATTGAAGAAATGTCTGGAGTTAAGAAAAATAGTCGTAAATAGGTTGTAGTTACTTGTGATGGTGTACCATATCATCATATACTAAAAATGAAAAAAGATTTTCCTTGGCTTATATTAATTCCAGGTGCTCTTCATGAAGAAATGAATATGCTAAAAGCATTCATCGAGTTAAATTGGGATATCAACATAAAAAATTTTGCCTAATATCAAGGATATCGAACAGAGAATTAACTTCAGTTTTTCAAAAAGTGTTCTAATCATCATAAATCATGGGATTCGGTATGTAATATATATAGATATGCTATAGCCTCTGAGTTAATGTGGCCATATATTATTTCTGAAGAAAATCCTTCTGTTGAAGGTTATCTAAAATAGGCCCAAAATCAAATTGATTCTATATTTAAATTGAAGTATAAGCAAATTTTTGTTTATTTGCAATCAATTATTAACTTTTGTACTGGAGTTCATTTTAATAGGCCTTCACTAAGACTTGCGGCTAGATGAATATTTGCATCTATTTGGTTTGCTCAGCACTATTCAATTTATTGATTAATCGAGATTTATGATGGAGAACAAATGTTACGTTTAAGACCTGAGATTTATAACTTAATACAAGAAACAATTGTAACCTTCTGATCTAAACTTTCAAATCAACATCAAGGCCATGATGCGATACTTGAAGAGATTAATAAATCTCTCAAGTCTTTAATTCCTCTGATACCTTCACAACAGCATTGGGAAATCGCGGCTCGTAATTGTACAAAGTTTGTAAAGTTACATACTAATCTTTTTAATTTAATAGAATTTTCTGAAAATGAAGCCCATGAACCTCGAATACGTTCTAATTATATTTCTGAATCATGTCGATTTTGAGCTTAGATAAAAAAATCTCAGTTTATAAATCCAAATATTGATAATCGTATTTTTCAAAATATGAGTAGAGAATAGATGCTAAGTGAAGAAATAAAATGATTTAGTGAAATTGCATGTTCAAAGAGAATTGAGTTTATTAATACAAAACTAATTAAAAAAAATTTATCAGATGTTTGGCATCTAATACCTATAACATGTGAAGAGGCAGACCTTCAAAAAACTGACAGTTCTTTAACAAGACCACAAATTTTATCCATCATTAATTCTTTAATTCCTCTTTTAGGTGATACGAATCGATCATGTTTTCGAGATTTGTTGAATAAGTCTCATAATAACTTAATAAGTATTCTTCAAGAAATTAAAAATATATTAGCTAACAATGGCGTTAATACTAATAATAAAGTGTAAAACAGATAAAGCATTTTTTTTATTGTATTTTCTGAATTTATTTTTAAAAAAATTATAGTAAGAAAAATTTTATTTTTTGTATAAATTTAATATTGAGCAGTAAAACATAGTATTGTTATTGTATAGGAGTATAGAAAGCGCAATAGAATTATGTATAATTATGCTGTACTAAACAAATTTAAATTCATATATAAAAATATTTTTAATAAAGATCATTTTAATAATAATTCAGTAATTGCAGAATGTATAAGTTTTATATTAATTTGTATTGAGTTAATTACTTCATAATTAATTTTAATTTTGTCTTTTTGGAATCTTTTTGAGTCGTGTAAAAAACTAGACACACGCTTAAAGTAATTATGCATGTACATAAAACTTAAAATTTATATATCAGTACTGCAGTATATAGCATACAAATTTTATTCAAGTTTTTTATTTATTTAGTATAGTAATTAACAATTGAATTTTACACAACAACGATACAATTTTGTATTACTCAAAATAACATTTTGATGAAGAATGAAACAAGAACTGACTAACACAGAATTGAATGTCTATTCTAAATACCCAAATGTCTAATAATTATTATACAGCTCTACTCTAATTAACATAAAGAATACCTCTTATGAAGAATAAAATAATAACCACCAACGTGGAATTGAATACCTATTCTAAATACCCAATTTCTAATAAACATTATACTCCTCTACTCTAATCAACATAAAAAATATCTCTTATGAATGATCAGTATTGACAAATAATGACAATACAGTAACAGGAAAATAATGCTGTTAGTAAGATCGTTGACAAGACAGCAAGAGTTATAAAAACGATCACCTGGGTACTTCAGTACAGCTGTACTTGCTTAAAACCAGGCCTGACAATACTAATCCAGTAATCCATTCTGGAGAATAATATTGACTACAGATCGTAAAACTAGAAGGCTTAAGCTAATTAAGCTTTAGTACTATAGTAGTTTCAGTATTAGGTTGGTAATTCTCTAACTCTTACATTGCAACAGCAATGGGATATGATCTAGTAAATGAGTAGCCTGAAACTCATATATAAGTGCACACAAGTAAATTTTTTGTATTAGTAATAATTAGACAGCAAG